TGAATTTAATACAGTCTTAGCGGAAGTTGAAGACATGGATTGTATGGCTGGGAAGAGTTCTTCTGAACCCAGTTTGAAGTTCCACTTGTTGCGGCTTGATATGCAGCCGTTGTATCAAGACGTGAAAATCTGTGGTTTGGCGTTGTAAACAGAGCGAGGACAATGTTTAAATTATTCATATAATTTTATTGTAATTATTCAATTCTTTAATGATCTATTGTATTGGTAGTCGTTGTGTCGCGTTGCCGTCCTATATCGTAAGGTCTCTAATAGAGAATACTAACTATGCAATCTACAGGGTGTATAAAAAAAACGCAACCTCGGAATTTCCCAAGAAATCGACATTGTTTTGAAGACAAAAGATTTTAGGCGCCTGGGAATTTAAAATAGCACAACTGTCAAAATTACTGCACATGCGAGTGCATAAAGCAAAATTTATGCATTTATTTAATGCACAACAACAGTAATATGATCTATTAGCAATTCGATTTCAATTCCCAGGGGCCTAAAATCTTTTATGCTTAATAATTGCAAAGTGATTTCTTAGGAAATTCCGAGGTTGCGTTTTTTTATACACCCTGTAATTGCAGTGTTCTAGCCTGTAAAGCAATTATTAAATGCCAATGATTTTGATGAATGAAATATGTACACTTCATTGGCCTTCATTGTACATTGCCCTATTCATGTAAAGAATATTGCGGATTTACGATATGCATATATATAAATTCCCTTGGTACTTGATTATATACACGAAGTCATCCATTCTCACTTCTGTCTATATATATCTGAGAAGAAGAGCGTGGAAACCCATCTTCTTTTCGAATTTTGCCACGAGAAGTATTTGGGTATATGAGCATAACTATTCATCGACTACGATCGATCGAGCTATAAGTTTGAAAGACCCGTTCTACATGCATGATGCACAAAAGACATGCATGTATCAATTTATTCAGGATTTAGACCCGTTCAGTGGGTTCGTGTCAAAATCCAAAACACTATTTAGTGTGCATGCTATTTTAATTTCGAACTTGTATTCAAATTTCCATCTTTTACTACGGTGTTTCCATTTCTGGTCCGAATGTGAGCTATCGCAACCTGAAATACAATTCGAAAACGTGAAAGAAATCGATTCTTTTTTCTTCAAGATTGGTTTAGAACAAACTTAGAGCTAGGTTAAGGTGAGGGTTACAGTTAGTATTTGGAACTGTCGCACGAAATAACTAGCTCTTGTTGATTTGACGTGATCCGGCTGCGGGCGCTCCTTATTGGCCAAATATCGCGCTTGCGAGTAAAACCGGATATTTTGAAAAATTCAATATAAATCTTTTTACACAACATATTCAAACGAAACTAAAATCCTAAACATGTGTAAATCAAGATATCTCATTGGCTGCCAATGAAATTAAATTACCCCGCTTACTTTTGCGTCTTGACATTAATCAATTACAATGTACTCAATGACAAAAAATCACTGCCGCTCAAATATTTATATTACTCTGGCAAAGTGACAGAAAACAAAAAAGCGACGACTGCTATCAATACAATGACATTAATCCTATAGTACAAAATAAATTAATAAATAAAAGTAGCATTTCACGCCGTGACAGGTAGTTTTTCCAGCAGAGTTAATCAACATTGCGCGGAGGGTCAAAGCTCTGTTTTACTAGCTCGTTCGAAACTATTTTAAATTCATACAAAATAAATACAAGACAAGATTTTCATACAATCATTTATTTTAAACAGTTTGTCTAGCCGTCGTATACTGACGTCGCTGTCTTACGTTCAGTCGTAATTCGTAAATTCCCTAATACTTTTGGAGTCAATTCAACTCTTTGAAATTTACACTATGTAAAATAACGTAAAATAAAATTTATTTTAATTGTTTATTGTCAATATTCTCAACAGTTTTAATTCTTATCTTATACTTAATAGACCACTCACAGACCGCTTTCAGATAAATTTTACAGCACTGAACAAACTAGTTTTCATCTATTTATCTCTTCGTCTTCTGTCGGATGGCGTGGAAGAATATCTAATCCTACCATCTGCTTGGTATTACCTCAAGAATCTTGGAGAGACAAATGAATTTCTTGGTTTGACCCTAGCTGCGTATTCAGCAGGAACGTTGGTGTTTGCACCATTTATCGGATTTCTGGCAGTTAAATGTCAAGCATCAAAGTCTCTCGCTGTCATGTGTGGTTTAGTGAAGTTATTTGGTAATGCTCTGTACTCGATACCCGTCAATGGATATTTCCCTTTATTTGGGAGATTTATAAGTGGTATAGGTGAAGGAACAGTGGGAATGCTCTATGGAGCCTTGATTAAAACAGCTAGAAACAAAGTAAATATTGAACTAAGAAGTGCCAAAAAAGATTATTATTCTTCGAAAATAGCTGGTCAAAAAATTAATCCCAAGAAAGCTTGGAAAAGTATAAACAACTTGTTAGGTAGGCAAAACAAACCAACAGTGGTAAATGAACTAAATGTTGGTGAACAAAATCTGACAAGTCCTGAAGATATTGCAGAGGGCTTTAATGAATATTTTTCAAATATTGGCCCAGATCTAGCTAGAAAAATAGATTATTCCAATTCCAATTTTGAAACCTATGTCAAAAATGCTCAATCAGAATTTGCGGCTTTCCAACCTGTTACTGTCAGTCATGTCTCTCATCTTTTGCATGGACTTTCCAACAATAAAGCCACTGGTATTGATAAAATCTCTTCCAAAATTATTAAATTAGCTGCACCTGTTATCTCAGATTCACTGACACTTATTTTCAATCAGGCTATTACTTTATCTTCTTTTCCTGATGAATGGAAGGTTGCTAGAGTGATGCCTCTATATAAAAATGGCCAGCGTAGTATTCCTGGAAACTACAGACCAATATCAGTTTTACCAGCCATTAGTAAAATTATGGAACGGATATTGTATGATCAACTGTATAACTATTTAACAAAATTTGAGCTTCTCAGTGATTCCCAATTTGGATTTCGAAAATTTCACTCTACAGCTAGTGCACTACTAGACTGTACTAATGATTGGCATGTAAATCTAGACAGAAAAATGTTTAACCTAGTAGTTTTAATTGATTTGAAGAAAGCCTTTGATACTGTTGATCATCAAATTCTGCTGAACAAATTAGAGCTCTATGGAATAAAAGGACAAGCTCTAACTTTGCTCAAATCCTATCTCACAAACAGAAACCAGAAGTGCCAAATACAAAACTCATTTTCATCTGAGCGCTTGATTAAATGTGGTGTACCATAAGGCTCTATATTAGGGCCATTATTCTTTTTGTTGTACATCAATGATTTGCCACATTGTCTAAACAAAACAAAACCGCGGTTTTTTGCTGATGACACAAATTTGACTGCTTCAGCAAATTCTATGACTGACCTAGAGACTGCAGTAAATTCTGATTTAGAGAATCTTAGAAAATGGTTAATAGCCAATAAACTTAGCCTCAATGTAGCTAAGACAGAGTTTATGTTGATTGGCTCTAAACCTATGATCAAAAATATTTCTGATTCTTGCCCAAATGTTTACATTGAAAATGTACAAATTAAACAAGTTCATGAATGCAAAACTCTAGGAGTAACAATTGACCAGCATTTATCTTGGAAAAGTAATACCGAAAATATTTGCAAAAAAGTTACAGCAGGAATCTCTGCTATTCGTCGGATCAAACCATTTGTTGATCAAGATACACTTATTTTGATATATAACACCATTGTTCGTCCGTACTTTGACTACTGCTGTGAAGTATGGGATGTATTTGGCGAAACTCAATCAAAACGACTGCAAAAACTGCAAAATAGAGCGGCAAGAATTATTCTGAATATAAGCAATGACGTAGATTATACGATTGCGCTACGTACTTTGGGCTGGGAGCCACTCTAAACTGAAAGGAAGAAAACTAAAGCAAGAATGATGTATAAGTTATTAAACAAAATGGGCCCAAAATCACTCACAAATCTATTTTCGTTTAAGAGTGAGAAAACTAATTACCACCTTCGGGATGTCTCAAGTGGTCTTTATTTACCAAAACCACGTGCAAATAGCATGAAAAATAGTTTTATGTACGACGGAGCAAACATTTGGAATTCTATACCAAAAGAAATTAGGGAAAGCAAGTCACTTTCTTCCTTTCGAAATAAAATCGCTGCTCACATTAGTGCTTGGTAACCTTTGTAAATATAACTTACCTGTAAATAGCTCAAAACATTTGTTATATCTTTTAAATTTATATATTACTGTAATAGCTTAGCTTATCCTTATCATATTCTGCATGTAAAATAATTTTCTGGCACACGCCCCCCGTGGAAATCAGCTACGGTTGACGGGGTCAGCGTGGATAAATAAAGTTCTACTACTACTAAACCACCTTGAAGAAGATCCTTGGACGCGCATATATAAACCTAGAGGGTCTACAAACGATCATAGTCGAGATCGAAGCTGTCCTCAATGACCGCCCGATAACTTATGTCACATCCGAAGCCGACGATCCAGAACCCTTGACACCTTCCCACCTTCTCTACGGACGACGGCTCAGAAGATTACCTCGCCTAATCGTTGAAGAAGAGGAACTACACGATCCCAATTTCGACGACGATTCCGAAGTTCGAGAAAGAGCCAGGAAACAATCGATAATAATACAATCCTTTTGGATGCGGTGGAGGTACGAGTATCTCACCTCACTTCGTGAATTCCACAAAACAACAGGCACAAACGAACAGAAAGTCAAGCAAGGTGACGTTGTGTTAGTTCACGATGATGGTCCCAGAGCCAACTGGAGACTTGCCGTAATTGAGAACCTCGTTAGTGGAAACGATGGACTGATTCGATCTGCTGATATTCGTACTAGCACTGGTAGAACCAACCGACCTATTGCTCGTCTCTACCCTCTCGAAGTTTCAACCAAACAGGAAGCAAAACCCATCCTATCATCAGAGAAACCACCACCAGCCTCGGAACCCCCACATCGCCCGAGGAGAGAGGCTGCTGTAAAAGGACGCGAACGAATTGCACGTTGGACACAGAAACTTTCCCTCCCCCCGGAGGATGTCGAGAATTATGCATAGTTTGTTAAAGGACACTATAGTTAATCTTATATGACGTTTAAGCGTAGTATTTGCTTGCGCATGCGCGTTAGTGCTCGCCTTACGAACATGTTTTAGATTCGTAACATTCATATAAAACGACCGTTTTGGACCATAGTTTTGGGACTTTATGTTAGTTATGTCTTGTATTAAGATGTCAAATATATTCATATAAACAATCCACAAACTGAGGCCCGTTTACACTTGCAATCTGTTTTGCTGCGATTTCTAGCGCGATCTTTCTTCTTCTGATGACTCTGATGCATGTGAATTATACGCAGTAAATAAGTTGTGAATAAGTTGTGAATAAGTTGTGAATCTCACATCTTGTAACAAGTTTGTCAACAAGTTGTCTTCGCACTGCTTGTCACAAGTTGTCAACAAGTTTGGAACAAGCTAGCTGTTAACAATTTGTAACAACCTTGTTGATATTATCAGACTTGTTACAATTAGGTTGTTCCAACAAGTCCGATACAGTCATGATATACAGTAGCAGTATTGTTACAACCTTGTGTCGTCAACCTTGTAACATGCATTTCTTGTTTATCATGACCATATCAGACTTGTTAGGACAACCTTGTGACAAGTCTGATAATGCCATCAAACTTGTTACAAGTTGTTAACAGCTTGTTCCAAACTTGTTACAACAACTGGGAACAAGCAGTGCGAAGACAACTTGTTGACAGTGAACAGTCGATTTGTAACAACTTGTTTGTAGACTTGTAACAACTTGTGCGCATGGGCGTATGGGCCTAATCTTTTTTTTTGGGGGGGGGCACAGTTTAGTATACCCGAACAGGTAAACTGAGCATTAATACTTTTTCCCGAAATTGTTGGCGAGCGGGGGGGGGGGAGAGGTCACCAAAAATTTTCTGGACATCAAAAAAGATTTTCCGGACATCACGTAATTTTCGCGAAATACAAAAATTTTTTCACAGCATATCAAAATTTGCCCGAAATTTTTACGTTTTGCCCGAATTTCGCATTGATTTTTGTTCGACCGTAAAAATTGAGGGGCGGCATGTGCCTCCCCCCCCGGTCCATACGCCCATGCTTGTGCGTTTTTACGTGTGTATGACTCAGACTCACTGATGTACCTAAAATCGCAGCAGAAATTGCAAGTGTAATGTGAGTGTATTAAACAGGCCCGTTTACACTTGCAATTTTTGCTGCGATTTCTAGTGCGATTTTGACGTGTGGATGAGTTATGAATGTTCAGATGAGTGTACATATACTCAGAACATTGTTAGCTCATCCACTTGTTCTGTCGTTCACGTGCATTTGATCAGGGACGTCGCTACAGGGGGGGTGTAACACCCCCCCCCCCCGCCAATAATTCAAAACGTTGGTCAAAGTTGGTCAAAATGGAACTAATATTTGCTTCAAATTGCAGGTCAAAGTTGGTAAAAATTGGTCAAAGTTTGAGATAAAAGATGGGCAAAGATGGTCAAAGTCCGGTGTTTGGTGGGCGTGGCGGAGGTGAGACCCTGTGAAACAGGTTCGATCAAAGTTATGAAATCGTTCGCAATTTTAACAATTTCTAAGCAAATCGCAGTAGAAGTCGTAGCAAAAGTTGCAAGCCCCCGCCAAGGAGTTTCTCAAAACCCTTTTGTTCAACCATACATGAAGTATATCAAAGCTGTATGAATTTATGTATGAAGGAAAGAATTAGAACCAATCGAACAAACGTTTGTCTTATTATAAATTATAATAAGTTGCGACCAGTCATGTGCACTTGGATTGGAATCACTGTTTTATTAGCATATTTTATGTTCAAGTACATTTATTTACTGTGTGATTAAATGGCAACAGGGGCGACATCGACTAGCTCTGTTTCGAAAGGATGTTTTGTGATCCATCCCCAGAAAGTATCGAGTTCGCGAAAGCGTAAATCAGAAGGCAAATATGTAGGTTTTCCTCGCGTACCAGGCGAGTCAGACGAACACTGTCGTGCGAGACGTGAGATCTATACAGACACGTGGAGCAAGGTGGAAGAACTAGTTAGCTCATTGCATACCAACCTCAATGATAAAGTGTTTGGTGATCTGCTGGAATTCATTAACAAAAGCGTTTCCAGTAATAAGGTATCATATGACTTGGCCTTGTAGTAGTTTATATCTATCATAGTATCAGTGATATTTTCCAGGGGGAATGCTGTCCTCCCACCTTTTTTACCAGGGGAACGGCATCCCCCCTGCCAAAATCAAATGTGGGGGAACGCCATTCCCCCTGGCAGGGATTAAATATGAGTGAAGTTCAGTGAACATTGTTTGACACCATCCAAATAATTTTGACATCACTTGTTCTACATACGTGTTATTTTTGGCAATAATTGCTCAGCGTCCTCCCTGAAACTTGATATACTTGCATAAAATTCTAGCAGACTAGCCCAAAAATACGAGAGTCTGATAATTGACGTCCGCTTAGTTAAATACTTACCAGTCATAAGCGCGGATAACGTTTCTCGCACAACTAAATCGTGAAATTAAACATTCAAATGGACAATAAAATGAACAATGGGGACATAAAATGATTCAATAAGAACATTAACATGATTGAATGTATAGGATAAAAGGATATCTATATTTAGGGACCGGTCATAAAGTAATTACTAGAGAGGGGTGGAGGATAAATGAAATTTCAAGAACATATTTCCATACTCTACCAAAAACCTATGGAAAAATTTTGTAACCCCCTTCAATGTAAGCGAAAATTTTCATGCACCCCCTTTCTATCAATAATTCTGTTTTAACATTTGTCTTGCGTTTATCTATATTTCGAAACTCTCCAGTTTGTGATAACTCTCCCACTTCTTGTAGTGGTAACCATATATCTTCACTCAACATTTTCCGCAGTCTCCGATTCGTCACCAATCTTTTCTGTTTCTGATTCTGACATACTAGCGATGGGTTGAGAGTAAGAAAAAACAGAAAAATTTCTTTTTGGTTTATTTCAATTTCGTACGCAGAGCCATCTTTGAGCTCTGGGAATGAGATTGGGTTTATTTCAAACAGAAAAAATTTGCTTCCATTCAGTGTGACACTTCCTCGTCAGGTTCTAATAGTGCAAGCTTGCTAGCATTGACAATTCAGATGTATCAGATTTGTACTCCAAACGTTCCACAGATACTGAATCCTACTTATCATCTGACATTAGTAAAACAATTCTTTCCAAGTTTAAATTTGGGCACAAATACATTCAATATTCAACAATAATTATAAAAACCCCCTCAAAGGTTCTGGATTTTTTTCGTACCCCCAAAAATTCCCTCCATACCCCCTAGTAAATACTTTATGACCGGTCCCTTATCTAAGCTTATTTAGTACTTGCGAAAACGTCATATTCAACTTGCAAAGTCGCCTGTTTGCCGAGTTACTCACATAGCACTAATTGCATCATCGAAACTTGAAAGTCAACATGGTTTTATTTGCTTTTTGACATCTACCACGCGCAAGCTAGGTGTTTTTTAGGTACATATTGTACTACGCAATAGCTTAGTTTTTGAAGTGGATTTATGTACTTGTTCACTATGACTATGCATGAGGCCATGCCCAATCGAGTGACTACGCCCATTTGATTTTCAAGACCATCCCCCCCCCACTTCTAAAATTAGCAAAACATCGCTGCATAGTATGTATATTACACACGTAAAAAACCCACAGTCTGCCAACAAGTTGTGTTCGCACTGCTTGTCCCAAGTTTTCAACAAGTTTGGAACAAACTATTAACAACCTTGTTGATATTATCAGACTTGTTGCAAGATTGTTCCAACAAGTCCAATACAGTCATGATATAACACTATTGTTACAACCTTGTGTCATCAACCTTGTAACATCAACCTTGTAACATTCTTGTTATATCATGACTGTATCAGACTTGTTAGAGCGACTTTGCTACAAGTCTGATAATTGCCATCAAGCTTGTTACAAGTTGGTAACAGCTTAATTGTTCCGAACTTGTTACAACAACTTGGAACAAGCAGTGCAAACACAACTTGTTGACAGCTTGTAAACAGATTTGTAACAACTTGTTTGCAGACCTGTAACAACTTGTGAGTTTTTTACTGTGTATATGGCAGCTTACTGTATGAAATTTAGGGGGCTAGAATTAACTCAGCATATTTCAATGAAATCAATAATAGATGAAAATTGACATCAATCTATATCAATTAATAAACTGCAATTATGCCCCCAAATAGGGCGTAAAAAAATACCTGTGGTTCCGGTTTCATATCGTGAAAAAATTTGGGTCGGTAGGTCGGAAATAATTCGATTCATTTGAGAAGCCATATAAACAACTCGAGCTCATGTCTCACCGGGATATCCAAACACCCGAAGAAAATAGGGTCGCACAGTCAATCACGTTGAAAAAATAATAGGGTCGGCAGAAAAAAATAGGGTCGGTCAGGAACTGGAACCACAGGTATTTTTTTTACGCTTAGTGATTGACCGATAATCAGTATCGGGCCAATTTTTTCCTTTTCACTTTTCAGTAGATTGACAATCAAAATCAGTAGAATTATCTGTATTTCTGATTGTGTAAAACCGATTGTTGAGAAAATGCACACTTTAAGAATTATAATTAAACACATAGGCGTACCGGGCGGGGGGGGGGAGCGGTAGTTTGTTGAGCAGTCGGGCAATACTTGATCAACAGTCGGGCAATTTTGGTTTGTTATAAAAATAAATGGGACAAATTCTGTCAATTTTGTCGAAAATTCATTTTGTGGCCAATTTTGTGTTTTTTGGAAAATTTGCCTGATGTTACGAAAAATTTTGTTATGTCCGGAAAATTTTTTTGACCCCTAAAATGGTACACTGACCGAAATTTTTTTGGCAACGGGGGGGTGGGTGGGGGGAAGTCGCCAAAATAATGTTTCCGGAAAAAAATTTTCGGTACTAGTCGGGCAGAATCCCGAAAAGTCGGGCAATTTTCTATCCACCCCCCTAATTTTTTCCTTCCGGTACGCCCATGATTAAACATTGCACTGTTGATGTACTGTACACTTGTGATCAACACAATATGTTACCAAATGCATGAAGTGTTGTGCTATTCATGAACAGTTTTAACGAACTTTGGTTGAAGTACGTAACATGTTACATTGGAAATTATTGTTAAAACATTGAAATGAATGATGTCATATGCATTCACCTTTACTTGATCAACTTACATTATGATGTCACAGTCATTATGTAATCGGTATCGCATCATGCAGGTAGATTGTTGCATGGATAATTGGTAATCAATCACTACTCTCAAATGTACCCAACTTTATTATTTTACTCTTGCTGTCTAATGCCAGATGATTTACTTGTGAGGTGTCTTATGCATTAATAGGTTAACATACTAAATTACCCACCAATGTGTCTTGTTGATCCATTAACTGCCATGCACTCAAATGCACCAGACAATTTTACTTGTCAAGGGGAGAGTCTTGCACAATAACGGGTTAATTAATATTCGTTTTGGGAATTAACCCTTTAAAAATGCTGTAAAGTCCGTAATGAACTCAGTGCTACAGTTGTAAAATATGATTAGATATATATTATACTGAATTTTTAACACTCTTCTGGTTTGCTATGCTTGTAAATGAATATAGACCAGAGATTCAATTCAAGAAAGTTCGGAAGGTTCAAAATATTAATAACATTCCAATGGTCAGGTCCTGGCCATTGGAATATAGGCCTGCGCAGTATGTATGTGCAGAACAGACTTTACAGCATCTTTAAGTGGCAATTAATGCGCCCAGATGCTCCCTACGTTATTATTTTACTCTGGCTAACACCAGACGATTCTACTCGTCAGGGGGAGAGTGCTGCCTCAATGGGTTAATCAAACAATCTGCCCATGCACCCTGTTAACCCTTTAAGTGGCAATGCGCCCAGATGCGCCCTACTTTATTATTTTACTCTGTCCAATGCCAGATGATTTTACTTGTCAGTGGGAGAGTGCTGCCACTCAATGGGTTAATGACCAATAATCACCGACTGGTATTGTTGTGAACTTTCAAACTTGCTTGCCAAAACATTGTGAATATCTGATTCCTCTTCACTAGATTTTCATTTGCTTCTATTTCGTTGTTTTGAAAAACGTCTAATGAATTCTGATGTTGCTAATTAGTTGAAACACATTATAGTCAAGCACCCAATAGCAGATCAAAATTAATAAAAATTGATGACAATCAATGAAATTGGCCCAAGGTTTGTTTAATAGTGACTATCAATTGGTCATTGATTGCACAAGATAACTGTAATATATAAGCTTTACATTGAATAAATAATTCGACAGAGTTATAATCTCACAATTGTATAGGAACTACAACACACACTGGGCTTGGCCTCCCTTGTTCGAGGCTCAACAATGCACCCGTTGATTTCAACCTGCAGAAGTATATGTGTATACACAAACAAATTAACCCTCAATGACTCCAGAAAATGCTTACATGTTATACCCCTTACCTCATATGGCCAAAAACACACTGATCATGCAGTTACCTATTAAATGTATTTTAAAAAGGCAAATAAAATTTCAAACACTTGTTTTAAGTCACTCCCATATACACCCCCCCATCCAATGGCAATGCCAAGGCCTATTTGTAGCAAGGATTTAGATCCATAATACTAATGTCAATGATCACCATGCATGCATCATCGCAAATACGTAGCATTTTTTCAATTTTTTTGCAAATACTTAAAATATTCCAATTGCAATGTAAAGATTTGGGCTTATAAATTAAAGGCAAAGCGGTAGCTCATATAGTTGAAATAAGTGATATTTTAGTATTTTACTATTCGTGCGCACTGCACAGTAATGTACAGTATCTAAAGCAATACCTGCAATGGACTTAAATTCCCAAGAGCAGAAAATCGTTCGCTTTACAAAGATATTTTTATTTCTTCTCAAATTCATTAATAATTCATGAGCAATTCAGCCAATGATAATCACCTATTTGATCACAAGATGCCATTTGGATAACCCGGTGAAACTTGATGAAAGTCACTAGTGTGAATAGAATTCCTAATTACGTTATGCTTAAGAATTCTATTCAAATCAGCAAACGAAAACATTCTGTTACGTCTCGATTCATTTGAGAAGCCATATAAACAACTCGAGCTCATGTCTCACCGGGATATCCAAACACTCGAAAACAATGTATGAAAACACTCGCGCTTCGCGCTCGTGTTTTCATACATTGTTTTCTCGTTCATTGGTTTCTCATCATACATTGTTTTCTCGTGTTTGGATATCCCAGTGAAACACTCGCTCTCGTTGTTCATATATTACTTCAATACTCACAATATGCACCCTGTCAATTATATTTTACGCATCTTTGTGTTCAGTTTGATGCTGAGGCGTTCGGGTTCTAGCGGTGCGTTGTTTCAGTGGTTTTGGGTTTTTTGGGACACCCTGTACATACTGTGACTTTAATTAAAAGGTCTATGTTAGGAAGAGGAGGGGCATCATACAATGCACTTTACGTCCTGTTTGTACCTTGTCCGTTTGAGTACAGCACTTTTTAATTGCATGTTTAGATGAATATTTGTTGAATTAATTTGTACTCAATAAAGTTTAATTAACAAACTCAAGTCCGTTTTCCGATAGGCAAATTTGTTTGCGCGAAGATATATATATATATATATATATATATATATATATATATATATATATATATATATATATATATATATATATATATATATATATATATATATATATATATATAGTATATATATATATATATATATATATATATATATATATATATATATATATGTTAGTTGTGTAATTGTACACTCTGTAATATGTTAAGATGAAAATGTTCTAGAGTGTGTATTATATAATTTCCATACCCAGCGCAAGCAGAAAGATGTTGAGTATATGGAAATTATATAATACACACTCTAGAACATTTGGCATCTTAATATATATATATATATATATATATATATATATATATATATATATATATATATATATATATATATATATATATATATATATATATATATATATATATATATATATATATATAATATTTAGTAAAAGAAAAGCTACAAGATGAATGATTATCCCTTTTCTTTTTTTAATCTTATTTTTTTCTATTTTAATGTTTTTCTATTTTCCAGCGTTGCAGAGTGAAAAATGAAATTCCAACAGGCGCGTTTATTACTGGAGTTAACATGCCTGATCATGATGCCATTTTCTCGCAGTTACAAGATAATCTGTTGAAAATCACGCCGTATGTTTCTCGCCTGTGCTCTAAAAGCTGTCCAAACATAAAGTTGATTGTGAAAGAAGCTACAAGCCAAATCATGGAAACAGAATATTGTGTAGATAAGGAAGTTGAGCCCGAGTTTGCTAAGTTCAACCCTCGCAAGGGAAACATAACGTTTGGTATTTTTAAACAGTGGTATGAATTGCGAGAAGCTGGCAAAGGCGATGAAAAACGACCCGTTGTGTTTATCCTCGAAGATTTTGAAAGTTTTCAACCCAAGGCTCTTCAGGACTTCGTTACTATTTGTAGTCTTTATGTCGATAAATTACCGATTGTACTGTTGTTTGGTATTGCCACAATTCCTGCCGTTATCCACCAGCTTTTACCCCGTTCTATTTCTTCTTGCCTCTGTATCGAAAAATTTCATGCTCAGGCAGCTATAACCTACCTTCTGGAAGTCATAGACCGTATCTTCATATCCCCAGAGTTTGCCTTCAAACTTGGTCCCAAAGTTTTTCAATACCTATACGAGAATTTCCTTTTCCACGATTTCTCCCTGCAGAATTTTATATTCGGTCTCAAATTTTCTATGATGGATCACTTCTACGGCAACCCGCTTAGTGTCTTATGTTCCAAGTCGAATATCGATGCCATTGACGAATTTTCTCACGAACAGTTAGAAATCGTACGGAAGTCTTCATCATTTCGAAGATATGCCGAACAACAGGATCGAGAAGAGCTTCGTTTGTTGTTACTGGATAATGAACATACTATTAAAGTTATCTCTGAAAAGCTGGAAGACATGAATTCCTATCATCATCATTTCTTTCCTGTGCTACGATGCCTTGCTTCTTTGGTTGCCAAACTTCCAGGTTATCCAATGGGAAAGAAATGTCGTGATGTTTATGAGCACTGCCTTAAAACAAGTGTTAAGGAGTTAGATGTCTACCATCAAGCTATGAAGATGGCAGTTTTTCTTGCGAAAGATGAGTTAGTTCCAGTTCTAGAGAAATGTGTTGAACTTCTTAACTCCGCCATTAAGAAACAGGAAGCGATTTGTGACGATTTTGATGAGTACGTGCAAGCCCTGAAGACTGCATTGTTGAAATTTGAAGAACTTTCTAAGCAGAATGCTTCCATGACCTTTGCTACTTTTACCGAAGCCTCCCCCAAAATTGTTTCCTCGATAACAAACAGATTTGAATTACAGGAGAAACTTAAAAACGCTGTCTACAACCGAAAGAAAGAGTCGCCTTTCGAGAAAACAAGGGAAAGTGCAATTTCCACACTTGACAAGATGTTTCAAAAGTATCTTTCCTGCCCTGCAGAGCAGACGTTGCATGAAATATTCTACTATGACCAAGCAGAAACCGTGAAGCAGCGTCTTAGCGGACATCCACGTGTTGCTATTCAGACAGCGTTAAACAATCCGCGTTACTATATGAATTGCTCATGCTGTGATATTGAGCCGGGTTCTATTCAGGATACCTTACCAGATATATCAGTGGCATTCAAACTACATCTGGAGTGTGGTAGACTGATCAACCTTTACGACTGGCTTCAAGCTTTTATGACCGTCACTGAACCTCCTGCCAAAGCGAAGAAGAAAGCAAAGAATGACGAACAGCAGACGTTACAAGCGCGGTTTATCCAAGCTGTATCGGAACTACAATTTTTAGGATTCATCAAGGCTACCAAACGGAAGACTGACCATGTAGCTCGATTGACGTGGGGTAGTTGTTAACTCCGCTGTAAATGAACTCGCAGACGTAGGACAGCAACATCTTTACTTTATATTTAATTACCTTGGCTATGCACTGTTCTATTACTAACAATGTGCATTACAAGTTTTCAATTCTGATTAGAAATTTTCCAAAATGGTGGTACTGTACCTGTATTTCTACTATATGCTATGAAATTACTAACAGCTTGTTTGTGTGTGCATGCCCACGATCAGTGACATTGAAAGGTGGGATTGAAACGTTATTTTTGTAAATAATTATGCAAATTAACTTCTAAAACCCCCCAACCCCAGTTACATGTTGCTGGGAATCAACAAAACAATAGAACATAAACAAACCACTTTAGTTAAAATTGTCAATCACCAATCTTCATATAAAGTGTAAATTTTAGTCTAACTACACTGAACAGGAGGGAAGGGGGGTAATGATACTGCCTCAGACTAACCAGTCTACGAATTTTGTCTGTGATTGTAGATAGCAATAGACTTCTAGATATTTCTCGAATATGAACTGTCACCGATGTCGAAGCTTGCAATGTAAACTACAAATTTACGATGGATCAGATTGTACGCCTGGCATTTGAGCTTTTGCGTCCTGTGCAACCAGACAATTCGTGCCGATTAATCTCTAACGTTGGGCGGTATTGAAATTTCAATACCGGTTACGGTATTTTTAAAACATCGCAGTATACCGTTAAATCTTTTAAGGAAACGTGTGACCTACATCATGAATAACCCCAAAATTCAAGGCAAAATCAAGAAAATGAACTATCACGGCAAGATCTTCACAACATCATAGTAAAATCATGGCAAGATCTTGTGGACATCTTGAAATGATCATGGCAAGATCTAGAAAGATCATGGCAAGATCTTGACAAAAGTGTACTTTAAATTTGTTTTTAAAATGTATCAAGATCTTGGCAAGAAAATAAGAAATTCTTGCCACGATCATAGCAAGATCTTGCCAAGATAATTCCTTGACAAGATCTTAGCATGATTTCACAAGATCTTACCAAATCCTGTAAGTTCTTACAAGATCCTGGCAAGATGTTCAACTTGGCCAATGTACCCTACTTGATTTTTTTACTCTGTCTAAATACCAGATGATTTTACTCGTCAGGGGCATGGGTTAATTTTTTCAGAAATAATGGCACTATGTCATTTTTAAAAATAGCAGTGCCGTAGCTAGACGATAAGAACAAAGGAAACCGAGCAGGGTGACAAAATAAACCTTCATATCTGCATTTTACCCTCTCATCCGTCCGTCCGCATTACTCCATTCCGTTTTACTCTAATCCTTCACTAGATCATATGCAGCAAGCTGCTCCATTTACTGTTCGGAGTACTCCGAATTTTCGGAGCACTAATGGAATGGAATGGAACAGAAGACAGTAGGGAGCTTAAGCATGCAGGACGGCAACACGACGACGACGGCAACCAATACAATGAGTCAATGAAAAGAAATAAATAATTAAAGCCCCGGGGGAGTTTCAGACGTAGTTATCGTTCTGTTTACAACGGCAAATCACAGATTTTCACGTCTTTTATACAACGCCTGCATTTGAAGCCGTAACAAGTGCAACTTAAAATTCGGTTCAGTAGAACTCTTCCCAAACATAAAGCCAATGTTTTCAACTTCTTATACTGTATTAAATTCATACGAATTATAATATACGACAAGTTTTCTTTACTATCATTTATTTGAAGGAATTTGTTTTGGCCATTGTTGCCGCGTTGCCGTCCTGCATGCTTAAGCTCGCTAATCAGTCACATGAGTGTTCTGATCTGTTTTGACTAGCTAGTAGCTACCCCGATTTTCAAGTAGGGGCGGCCAGAACAGACACGTGACACTGCCCATTTTCACGTCAGTTGACCACTTGCGTAATAGACTAAATTTTGATCTAGACAAAAATTTCATCACAAAGCTTGAAAGAGCATCACAAAATTTTGATCTAGATATGCCTGGGCAACAATTTCATCACAGCTTGAAAGAGCATCACAAAATTAGTAATATTTCGAAGTTTCGTTGCGAAATGTTGTAAAATGCAGATAATATATATAGCCTTGTGAAGTTTGCAATTTTCAGTCATTTTAGATTACAAACGGGAAATTGACAGCCCAATAGGCAATATTGTTGTCAATATACCCTTGACCGGAGACTTGAACGGGGCTGTCAATTTCCCGTTTGTAATCTAAAATGACTGAAAATTGTAAACTTCGCAAGGCTATATTATCCGCATTTTACAACATTTCGCAACGAAACTTTGCTTTCAAGCTGTGATGAAATAAATTCTAGACTTGTTTAGATCAGAATTTAGTCTATTACGCAAATGGTCAATTGGAAGGCGACAGATTTTGTGTGCACACTGCATAGAGTGTTATTTTGAATGTTTAACCGCTATATATCGATATATACTTATTATATGCTATTGAACGGTATGGCCTATGGTTGGGCAAAATCAACGAGTAAAAACGTTGCAAAAGCATACTTAGATATACAAGTCATTATACGATTTATTATGCGAATAACTAGTGAATATAGTAATGCATGGTTGCACGCATATAGAATTAACTCAACACTGTTCCAGAACACCGTGCGCACTCCATTTTATATCGTTCCAGAACAGTGTTCCAATTTCATCAACTGCCGGAAGTTGACTATTGATATTCGCACGCTTTTATCATGTGAAAGTTCATTTTCTACTTATCATTAGCCTGGGTAGATTCATTGCAGCATAATACAATCTGTACAGGCTAACTTATAAAATACATTATAAAATATTCTTCAAACAAGCGCAGAAATTTGCTTTATTCTTGATACAACTGTTTAATACATGCATGGCCATGGTGTTTGTTGAATATTGGTAATCAGTATAATGTGCAATGCCAAAAGTTGAAAGTAAAAAGTATTTCGTTTTACTTCTGTGTCTGTGTTGGTTGGTAATAGTACGGTGGGGGTGGGGCACTTGCTTGAGGGTAAACAGAACCATAGTTAACATTAGAACCAGCAACCACGGCCGTTCTTGGAGCAGCGACAATCAGGCCAGGAGATCTGTGACGATATGAACAGCAGTAACACAACGCAATACCAATAATTATTGCAGCAAAACAAAGAGCACCTATCACAATGAACGCGATAGCCCAAGCAGCTAAACATGTTCCTATCTGACAGGTACCGTAACAGCAGTATTCATTGGGACCACCACAATCTATATCCGAACCACAATCGTATCCTACACAGCTTTCTCGACGACATATGTCATTACAACAATAGATGTCTGAGTCTCCGCCGCAGTTTGAGTTAAGAATACACGATTGGTTGACACAACTGTCAAAGCAATTGTAACTGCAACACACTAGTGATCCATCACAGTCACTGTCTGTAAAGCAACCGTTAGTTTCTGCGTAAAACACGGAGAAGAATGCAACAAACATCAGTACTTTCACAAGAGCCATATTTTTCGTTATTGTGGAAAGCGGAACTGAGGTTGCAACATTTTTCCAAGAGTTTCAAGTTACCGGATTACGTCAGTGGTGTAGAACTGAAATGATAACAAGGGACTCTTGAAGGGGGGGGGGGTGACAAGACGTGGGTGGGGTGACAAGGCGTGGAGGGTGCATCATGATAAACATTTGTGGTTTTATTTCGAAGAAAGGACTTAACTTCAAATAAAAGATTCCGATATACCGAAGTTATTTCATGCATGTTGGAGCCACATACATGACCTAATCGTATGATCATTGTAATCAAGTGCAGATTACTAACACTATTACGGCATGATTTCAACACTACAGTTCCAAAGAACGTTCCAGAACGAACGTTCCAGCCAGGTTATGAATATGTGTAGGTTAAGTTTCGGCCATTTGTGATGGATTTCCAATCGTCGTGGATAGCTACAAAATGGGAAGATTAATATGCGGTTCCAGCCAATTTTTACAAATTATCCATAAGGGGGGGTGATTTTGAAAAAAATTTCCTGCAAGGCTATTCTGAACAAAAAATATACCTGCACTAACAAACTGGGGAAAAAAATATCCTGCCCCAGTATTTGGTGAGAAAAAAAATGTTGCAAAACAGCTTAGTTGCAGGGATCGATTTGACCAGTCCGAGAAGATCAGCTGGTTTGATTTTCAGTGTAAGGTTAATTTCTTGTTGGAAAACTCCTCAAAATGCTGGAAATAGCTTATCTGAGCTTCAAAAAATCCAAAATTTTCGGTGGTCGACTCAGTTGTCTCAGAGTCCTAGTTAAGCATGGCCTGAGCTGCTGCCCTATGACGTATACTTATTAGTTAAACCATGCATATACTAGTATGCTGTAGGTAGCTGCAGTGATACAAACAGGGCTGTAGCGAGAGGGGGGTATTGAGGGGTGGTTAACCCCCCAACATTTTTAGAATCAACATATTCAGAAAATCGGGTTGGCCATTCGGAAAATTACGGCAATAATAGTAGAACACAATTTTAGTTGTTAAACAGAGAAAATATTATAAAATTGTATTGTCACTATAAATTGTAAGCAAATTGTAAATTTCGACATACTAAAACGCATTTTTCTGACCATCGGCATTCTGTCAAAACTTCCCCAAAGTCCAGGAAATGGCATTTCAGAGACTCGAAATTTAAAAATTTTGTAAATTACGTCTTCATTTTCCGAATAGCAAACACCTTCATGGCTTAGTATGCCATGATATGTTCGGAAATTTTTTTCGTCATTTGGAAATTGTTGGCCTACACCCCCAACTATACATGCTAGCTACGGCCCGCGCCTGGATACAGACTTGCCGACTGGAACTTCTCCAGGTCCCCCGCTAATTATGTCCTCCTCTCCAGTTACACATCCTTAAAAAAGGCCCTGAACCAAATGTTATACCTCATAGCAGTATGTATTATTAAGAGCAGTGCATGAAGCTAGAAAACTCAACGTTAACTATAATTAAAGAATCTAAATAGTATAAGTTAAGCTACTGAAAACAAATGCTGCGAAAGAAAGTGTGGCAAAAAAAAAATCGTACATGGTGATGGGATAAAAAAAAATGTTGCACATCACGAAAGTTAAATGGTCGGCCCCTAAATAACAACTTCAATAATAATAATAAATAACAGCGTTTATCTTATATAGTCCGACAAAGAGAGAATTCGAACTACAAATAGCTACAAAGACAGTGATGCACACTGCACAGGAATAACTGTATGAAATATATGAAATATAAACATCTTAAGGCCAGGGTCAAACGTCGAACTTTTCATGTGCCGAACCTCATGTTAATGAGCTAAATTTTTTGTTTCACTTCATTTGCATTAGGTTCGGCATGCACATGAAAAGTTCGACGTTTGAATAAATAACCGTTGACTATGCAAAATATGTTCTATAGCCTGAAAAAGTTTTGCTTTCAAACTATTCGCTTCGACGAAAAAGCAGACGAATTCGAAAATACGGCTGTTCAAAGCGCGCACGAATCTCAAATGGCATGCAGTTGTTCAAACTCAAAGCGCACGAGATTTCGGGATCACCTAATTTCTAGATCTGAGCTGTGATTTCTTCAACTTCTGCCCATTTCAACACTGATTTCAAGCTTTCCTGAAGATATCAGTAATTCACTGTAGTTTTGGTAATTTTTTCAATGTTTCAGTACTCAACTGTATTGGAGCCATGTATTTGAAAACAAAATATTGATTATAGCTTTATCTTCTCGTGTTAAAAAATATTTTACTCGCTGCTATCGTTCGTAACTGAAAACTGTTTTCACCACTCGAAGATAAAAGTCATATCTTTGCGCCGCTGTGTAATATCCTCTATTTATTTTTATTTGGGGGCATCCTTTACCTGGGGCAAATTGTCCCTTTTGTGGCCGCCATATCCCTAGTCAACCTCGTACCTATAATGTTGTCTATAACATTGTTATCTATGCTTTCTTTAATAATCTCTAACAGAACATAATCTTACAGTTGCATCTATATCGCCATCTTGCTTACTTCCTCGTGGTCCATAATTAATGTTTATTATGTTAATTATGCTAGACACTACATCCCTCCTTTTCTCAGAGTTTTTCACAATTGCAGTTCGTTGTTAATCATCTACCACTATATCTATGCGTTGGTATTTAACACAACAGAATATGAATGCTAAGACAAATTGTTGATTGTCCAACAAGTTATATGACTGTCACTGTCAGCCCTTTCTATTTACAATAAGGCTTAATGATAATAGTTCGGCCTTCTTCGTTCTCTCCTTGGATATTGTCGTTCTAGATTTTGTTGTTCATCTCGGTTGTGATTGTTGTTATTTTCATTGTCTCCAATATCACGTTGTTCTTCATGTTCATCACTATCTTCCATTTCCTCCTCATCTTCAGAAGACAGCCCAGTTGTTTTAATAGGTTTGAAAAACGATTGGTTTCTAGTAATAGCGAATCCTGGTCTTTCTGCAGTAATCATCGTTCCTTTTACTGTGATTATTCGTAGCGGTTTGGGATCAAAATTCGGGGTAAATTTGTTGTGCTTTTGTTGTCTTACGAGTATATAATCACCAATATTCATGGTTGTCGTCTTACTTTGTCTCTGTCGATCTGCGTATTCTTTCATGCGTTGTCGTTGTTCTTTATCGCGTTGTTCGACGGAATGATCAAGGGCATTCTTGTCGGTTTTAGTGTCAGTCTGAGGTAATCTTGTGCGGGTGTTCCTACCAAACATGAGTGTGGCCGGTGCAACTTGAGTTGTGGTATGGGGAGTAGCTCTGTAATTTAATAAGAATTCCTGCATGGTGCGGCGCCAGTTTTGCTTTTGCAGATGAGCAGTACGAATGGCTTTCATCAGTGGTTTCATGAAAGTTTCGCTTTCATTTGCTTGTGGCCATAATGGAGTGATTGTTTTGTGTTGAATGCCATTGTCATCCATGAATTTCTTTATTTCTTTGCTCTGAAACGGTGGACCATTGTCCGAGATAACTTTTTTTGGTAATCCAAATGTGGCAAAGATCTCGTCTAAACATGGAATTAGGTGAGGAGCATCCGTTTTCTTCATAATTTTTGTTACCGGATATCGGGAGCGTCCATCTATTAGGACAAAGAGTGTTTCTCCACTTGGTAACGGACCCAAAAAGTCAATGTATACAGTGTCAAAGTTCTCCTTGGGTATTTCGCGCATTAACAGAGGTTGTGGTGGTTTTGGACGTCCAGTGGCTTGGCATGGTATACAGCTGTCGATTGCAGATTTGACAAGTGAATCAATTAAAGGGAACCAAACTTTTTCTCGCATTAGGCTCTTCGTTTTAACTATGCCTTGGTGGCCAACATGGGCTAAACGTATGGCATCTGCTCGCAAGCTTTTTGGAATAACAATGCCTGTGTCTCGTAAAATGATGTTCTTATCATTAGATACAGTTAATTCATCTTTGATATTACGGAGTAACTTTAGTTCACGAATATCAATGACTGTGTCTTTGGAAAATGTTGTGGTGTCTAACGTATGCCATAAGTTTTTCTGTATTATGTGTGCAGCATGTTGCAAAGTTGGGTCATTTTGTGTTGCTTCTCTGATTTGTTGAAGGGTCATTGCTTTTGGGGTTGTTGATTCCGCAATGAACTGAATATAATATTCAGAGTTTTCACTGTTTTGTGATGTCATTGAGGTCGTATTCATTGGGTGTCTTGACATGTAATCGGATGGGTTATCGTGGCCAGGGCGATAGTGAATT